GAAGGCCATTCCGCTGACCCCAAAGGCACCTATGCGGCTTTCCCTTTGAACTGAATGCAAAAAAGAGATCTCAACCAGCCTATTCTGAAAGGATGGCCTTCTGAAAAGGCACAGCTTGGAGAGACCTGGCCACAGGCTTTGCTGCTTCTCCCCAGCACCGCAGACACCGCCACCGTGGGCCGGGGTCTCTACGTGGTCTGTCTCCAGACACATTCCGCAGGCAGGAGTAGAATGCCACTTTCCTGGACTTTGAGGCAACCCAAACCACTCCGAGAACAGGACACAACCCTGACGTGGAAGAAGGCATTCCCACAGCTGCAGGCAGCAAACCACACCTGCTGGCACCCACACCAACAAAGCTGCAGATCTGATAAGACCTCGCTCCAGCACCACCCAGCCCTCCCCAGGCTCATAGCCGCTGCAGGTCCCCCTCCAGGCTGCCTCCGAGAAACAGTTGGGAAGTAGATTTCACCAGGGAAAAAGTTGCCCAGCTGAAAGTGGACACAAAAAGGGCCAGCGCCTCAGCTCTGCATCCCTTCAGAGATGGCTGGAACCCCTTGGCCAAAGGGTTACAACTGTGGCCACAGGGCAGAAGCGGAGGAATGCCACACTTCGAGACAGGGACTGGGTGGGAAAGGAAACCAGGTTTCAGTCTCGGTTCTGCCAGGAACCTGTGACGGGAGAAATCACCAAGACTCTGGGAATGTTTTCCATAAAACCAGGAGGTGGTTCACGCCTGTAATTCCAGCACTTGGGGAGGCCGAGGCGGGCAGATCACTTGAGGCCAGGACTGGCCGACATGGTGAAACCCCGTCTCTGCTAAAAATACAAAAATTAGCCAGGCATGGTGGTGCACGCCTATAATCCCAGCTACTCGAAAGCTAAGGCAGGAGAATTGCTTGCACCTGGGAAGCAGAGATTGCCGTGAGCAGAGATTATACCACTGTACTCCAGCCTGGGCGACAGAGGGGGACTCTGCCTAAAAAAACAAAAACAAAAAAAAAAAAAACAAGAGGTTGGACAGGCCAAGGGTTCGGCGGGGTTCCCAACGTAAGGTCCTGAAAGCTGTGCTACCAGAGTCACGGCTGTGCCCTGCCTGGCCCCTTCGCTAGACTAGAAGTGTCTCTAAACCCTAGAGACTGGGAGAGTAGCCCACCTACTTCAGAGCCCTTGCCAGGTGGCTGCCAGCCGGGTAAGCACAGCAACAGGAACTGAAGGTCTGTCCAGGGAACATGCCTCAGCACACCCTAAGGACCTAATCTTCAGGCCTTGGCACCCTTCCCGCTCCCAGCACTTCCATTGTCTGCTGCTCCTTGGGAAGCACAGGGAGAGCTCAGGCCCCCCACATAGCAAGGCTGTGACCTCTGCCACCGCAGAGCTGTGTGAGGGCCGGGCCTCTCTGACCTTCCAGGTGGCAGGAGAGCCTTCCCTCTGACCCCACAGGTCCAGGGCAACTGCTCAGGGAGGCAGCCCAAGGGCAGAGACTGCACCTACCATAGTTCCCAACATCACATCCCAGCAAAGCCTGATGATCACGGTCCTTCAGTGCCTTTCTCCAGGCCAGCTTGCTTCGGAAGGATTTTTCTACACAAGAACACAAGCCAAGGAGAGTCAGGATGGCAGAGCCTGTCTCTGGGAAGTACTAGCAGGCTGCAGGAAAGGGCAAGTCACAGTGTCCCTGGAACGTGAATCTCCATGAGGCAACATGTGTCTGCTTCTACACACCCTTCTCTCCCCAGCGCTGGGCAGATTCAAAGGAATGAAGGTAATGACGACTGGAACGGGCTGCAGGCCCAGCTATGAGGCAGGCCAGGTGTCCCTCCATGAGCACATCTGGGGCATGGGAACATTCCTGTTTGCCTCGGTGGAGTTCTCAAGACCCCTAGGAGGGCCTAGCAGAAACAGAACACCAGGTCCTGCCAGGATGAGGTGGCCTCACAATTTCTGTTAACAGATTCAGACCCTGCTTTCAGACTGTGTCTCCCTCCCTTTCTACTGAGAGAGGGAAAATGTGTATGATCAAGAATGCGGTCTCCAGGAACATGTGTGAGATTGAGAAGAGACGGCACGCTGCAGGGCACATAGGAGGCAAACGCTCAACCTTAGCTCCTTCTACCCTTTTCCGTTCAAACTGGACCACGACACAGAGAAAAGCTATCCTCAGAAAACCAGACACACTGACCCCTGCACCCCATCTCAACCCAGATTTCGGGCAGCAGCAGCCCATCCCTGGTCAGAGACCTCCAGGGACACATCATGTGCTGCTTCTCCCACTGAGTGCTTATTTAATCAGGGGCAGAGTGGGCTGGGGCTCCTAAGATTCTAGAGAAATCCGATGCAGTTGCGCAGACCAAGCCCTCCAGTCAGATCCTTCTTCCAAATCCAGGAATCCAGTGTTGCAAGCACAGTCTCTGGGGACCCTGGCCTGGTGTGTGGGGAGCCCACAGTACAGGAAAGAATGCCAAGTGGACATCGACACTCGCCCGCCTGGCCCCGCCACATGCTGCTGGGATCGGCAGCCCCACCCAGCTTGCTGAGACTGTTTCCTAGCCTGTGTCCCCGCCTGTATGAGATGAGAGGCAGCTGCAGAAGTACCTTTCCCTAAAGGTGGCCGGTGCCATAAGTGCTATTGGACCCTCACTAGGGAAAGCTGCCAGGCAGGCTCCTTTTGAAAGTAACAATATGAACGGACAGATAAAACGCTACAGGTGTGAGCAGTCTCGTTCCTATTTTATAGACAGGAAAGCTTGAGATTCAGAAGTCATGGGACTTGCCCAAGGTCACACAGACAGAACCCAGGCCAAATATGAAAGCCATGTGCTTCCTGCTCACCATGCTGCTCCTATGGCAATGATTCTGGTAATAAACAACCCCTACTTTATGGGCTCAGTAAATCTGGATTTTAGAACCATTCTTAAAGAGGTTATTCTTAGACAGGGGTAGTATAAAAACAATCAGAAACATTTAATTTCACCAACTGAATCTCCTTCCCTAATCTAGAGAATTTCCAGCTTCCAGAGCCCTCAGAAATCCACTTCAACCTCCCTTTTCAGGTGAGGAGGCTGAGGCCTCAAGGATGGAGTGACTCATCCAAACTAGCTGGTGGCAGCCCCATGGAACGTGCTCCAGGGGTCTAAATTCCCATCCCCAAAAACAACCCAGCTCCTGCCTTTTCAGGGAGTGGGGTGAACCGAAATCCACATCGTGGTGGGAAGAACAGGGAGCTGGATTTACACTGCAAATCCTCTGCAAGCCTTCAGACGGGTTCTCAGCTGCCAGGGATGATCGTCTAACCAACACTCACTCAGGAGGGAAGCCACTGAATAAACCAGCTCCAAGACTTCAATAGCTGGATGCTCTGGGGCATCACCACACCACACTGCCGTCAAAATGAGGGACTCTGAAAGTCAGGGTAGGACAAAAGGCCATTTCTGAGAATGCACAGCAAGTGGTTCTCCTACATATACACTCTGGGAGCCAGGAGCACTTCAGAGCGACGTGGAGACAATCCCACAGAGGCCAACAGAGAGAGCATTCTCCAGGCCCAGCAACACCGAAATCCAGCCACATACACTCTGCCGGACAGCGACCCCTCCTCCCGGAACTGAGCCTCACAGGCCCCCTATTGTGTCAGCTTAAAAACCGAACTTTGCTGGGCAAACACACTCAGCTGTGTTCAACAAATCAGTTTCTCTCAACACTTGGAAAACTGCAGCACGCAAGCAGAAAGGCCGGTTGTAGGGGGTTCTGTTTGTTTTTTAAGCAAAGCCTTGGTCAGTACAGCTTTAGCAACTGTAATAAAAAATCATAATACCCAGCACTGACTGTATTCTTCCAATGTCCTGTGGCTTTACAGCTTCTAAGAAAATAAAACTGAAGGAGAGTCACCGCCGAGCATTTGGGATCAAACAAGGATTCCAGGCTTGTGGCGTGCCTGGAGGAAGGATTGGTCTTGTAATAATTACCGCAATCACAGAGAGCCTTATGACAGCTGGCAGAGGCAATTAGCAATGGCGGGGAGGAGGGGGGGCTAGGGGGAGGACTGGTAAGAAATTGAGAATCTAATAAAATAAAACATCTCCAGACCTGCAGGAGGCCAGATGTGGCAGGGCAAAATGGTGAGAAGCCCCTTCTTCAAGACTGGACAGCTATTAACTGGTCCCTGACGGTTCACAGGCCCATCCCTGGCCGAAATCACATTTGGAACGCACTAGTTGCAGTCATCTGTGTATGAGCAGAGTGCCTCAACACCCTCAGGCTGGCTTTTGCAAATCCTTCTAATATTTCCCGGCGATAATTTGAGAGGAAGGCCCGCATATCTAATTTCTTCTTCATACTCCAGGCTGTCTCCATTAGAACCCCTTACACAGTGTCCTCTTCCCACCAAAGGCTTGCTTCCCCAGCATAATCCTTCCTAAGCCAAAATCCAATCTTTGCGGGGAAGCAGGGGGAGTCAGCGGGTAAGCAGCAAGCCTCCGTGGCAACGTGAAAGGAAAGCGCCAAACGCCTCAACAGCAAAAATGCAGTTTCAGCAACACTTTTTAAAAAGCGGCAGACAAGACCTGGGAGGAGAGGAAAGGAAGAGACAGGACGGCGTCTGGGGCGTGGAGGGAAGGCAGCGGACGGCAGGCCTGCGCTCACGCTTCAGGGGGACTTCCTCTGTCACCCGGCCCACGGGTGCTCGGCTCGGTCACACGGGGAAAAGTCCAGCGTGTGACTCAGTGGGACAACAAGTCCTGCGGCCTCACAAACTGGAAATGGGGTGGTGGCGGAGAAGTGGGGGAAGGGGATGCCCGCGCGCAGCCCACCCCGCCCACGGGCCCCTCGAGCCTCCATCCCAGTTCCCACCACGCACCCGCCCCGCAAATCCTGCCCAAGGAGAGGGCTGGTCCCGGGTCCTCCGGCTGCCGCATCCGTGAGTTCAGGAGGGAGGGGAAGCCTCCTACTGGGCGACGCGGGCTAACCTGGTCCCTGACCCTCGGGCGCCGCAGCTCCCTTACCTCCAGGGTCCGGATCTCCTGCTGGGTGAGGTCGTTGGACACGGCGCACTTGGTGCGCAGCCCGCGCAGGCTGCCGATGGAGATGTCGATGAGCTTCTGGAGCTGCCCGCACTGCTGCAGCGCCCGGCTGGCCGCGGCCCCGGCGCCTCCCTCCGCGGCCGCCGCATCCCCCCCGCCACCGCCCTCCTTCTTCTCTCCCATCGCTGCCGCGCGCAGCGCCGCTCTATCCATGCCTCGGCATCGGGGCCGCGGCGGCCGAGGCTGGGAGCCCGGGGGCGCGGGCGCCTCGGCAGGGAACCCCCGAACCGGGAGGGTTGGACCAGAAGCGCCCCTCGGCGCTGCCCGAGCCGGGACGCCGGGACAGCCGGCAGCCGAGTCCGCCGCTCCCTCCCGCCCAGCTGCGGCGGCAAAGCGAAAGCCGCGGCGACCCGACGGCTGCGGCTCCCGGAGCCTTTTAAGCGGCGGCGGGGGCCGGGTCAGGGCGGCCGGGCATGCTGGGACTTGTAGTCCGCGCCGCGCACCTGCCGCCGGACCCCGCCCTCGGGGCCCGCGCCGCGCTCCCGACCCTCCGCTTCGCTCCCGGTGGCCGCCGCCAGTGCGGGCGGGCCCCGCCTAGGTATCTCGGGTGGGGCTGCTGCGCGCCGGCTCCTCCCCGGGGCGCCGAAAGTCGAAAAGCCGAGTCTCCCCGTCCGCCTTCGCCTCCGCCTCCGCCTCCGCCTCCGCCCCCCACCCGGCCGTGGAGCTTCCCGCGACCCCCGGATGGGGCGGGGCTGCGGCGGGGAGCTCCCTGGACGCCAGGCGGGTGTGCGTCCCGCCGTCCCGCAGTTCCTCAGCCGCTGCCCAGCCCTGGAAGATGGGGACCGGGGAGGTTCCAGGATTAGTGTGTGGGTTTAGGGGCCGCCATCTAGTGGGAAGGGGCTTACAGAGCTTCTCCTGTAACTGGCTCACAAAGCGCTCTGCTCTGGATTGCCGGCTCCAAGAGGATTGCTCAGGCTTGGAGAAAGGCGAAGGGCTTTCTTCTGCACCACATTTACCCACCAAAACAAGAGTCCCATCGCTCCGCCATTCCCAACCCAGCCAGCCAGCTCAGACACGGGGGACAGCGCACTGAATTGTCGGTGGCTTCAGAGCAAGTGCCTGAGGCTCAAATCCTGATTCCACCATTGTCTAGGGTGTGACCTTGGGCACGTTCGATTTCCTCTGAATGCTGAGTCTCATCAAATAACTCATAGGGTTCCTATGAAGAATGAGTTAATGTATGTACAGCACCTAGACTGGCACATGTGGTCGCTGGATAAATGTTAGCAATTCTATCTAACCTCATCTGAATATGGCCCTGGATCCAAGTAGTGGGCATGGAGCAGCACAGTACTGCCAAGGACTGGGAGTCCTCTGTCCTCTGTGCCTTCCTGTGCCTCCTAACCCAGCAATCAAGTCTCGCCCATCTGTTCACCCTCATCTCCCATTAGTTCAACCCATGTGTTCTATTATCTGACAAAACTGAAAAACCAAGACTCTGATCAAAGCTCCCACACCTCCATACTTTCAACATCTGTCAACCAGAAAAATGTCTCCCTCTGAATTTTCTCTTGTAAGCTGCTTGATTGCAGACGCCACTAGTTAGTGTATTATTATACCCTTCCCAGAGCCAGATACAGTACACCGCACACAATAAAGGCTCCAACGTGCCTCATGAGCTCTTCCGGCAGGTCCTACAGGGTGTTTCTTTTACCTCTCAGTCCAGCTGAGGGGTGTGTGTGTGTGTGTGTGTGTGTGTACAGATAGATCATTTTTTTTTTGGTTTTGGTTTTGTATTTGAGGATGACAATTGCACAGGAGATGGGATACAAACATTAGAGACACTAAAACCATCAATACTGGGTGGCAGTTTATATTACACTTTCCTTTAATGCCATTTGACATTTCAAAAGAAATTAAAGGTGGGCTCATGCCTATAATCTCAGCACTTTGAGAGGCCGAGGGGGAAGGATCACTTGAACCCAGGAGTTTGAGACCAGGCTGGGCAATATTGGCAAGACTTTGTCTCTTAAAAAAATGAACTTTAAAAAAAAATCAGGTCTAGAAAGGAAAACTCTAATAACTTTAAAATGTGCTTTTGCAAATTAACCCCTCCTCTGGAGATTTTCTGAATTGCAAGGAGGTTCCTCCCTAATCACTGACCTTTTCCATTGAAAATCATTAATGGGGTACTCACTCAACTTACAAAAAGACTCCCTGCACTGTATTATGAATTTCTCAACCTGTTACCTTAACCCCACCCCACTCCTTGCAAAGTAGTAACTATTATGAAAGGGAAACTGTAATTATGGTTCTCAAACTGGAACATGCATCAGAATCACCTGGAGGGCTTATTAATTCCCAGAACCACGAACCCCATCCCTATAGTTTCTAATTTTGTAGATTGGAGGACAGGGCGGGAGAATTTGCATTTCTATCAAGTTCTCAGGTGGTCCTGATGTGATTAGTCTGAGCCCAGTCTCAAGTCTTTACTTTGAGAAGCCTTGGTACAGAGGAAGGTCAGTGGGCAGGGAACTATCCCACAACCCAGCCTGGCTGCTTCAGAGCCTCTGTCCAGCAGCCAGAGCTGCCAGGCTTCAACGACTCACTCACTCTAATGCAGTTCACAAAATATTGTTTTTCTTTTTCTTTTTTTTTTTTTGAAATGGGGTCTTGCTCTGTCACTCAGGCTGGAGTGCAGTTGCATGATCATGGCTCAGTGCAGCCTCAACCTCCCAGGCTCAAGCGATCCTCCCACCCCAGCTTCCCAAGTAGCTGGGACTACAGGAGTGTGCCACCGTGCCCAGCTAACTTTAACGTTCCATTTTATTTTTTGTAGAAATGGAGTGTCTCTACATTGTCCAGGCTGGTCTCAAACTCTTAGGCTCAAGAGCTCTTTTCTCTTCAGCCTCCTAAAGTGCTGGGACTGCAGGCGTGAACCACCATGCCTGGTTCACAAGAGATTTCCTGATAAGTGCCTATTTATGCACTTACATCGAATTTGTTATTGCCACTGGGGCCTGGTCATCACATCACATTCCCACATAGATGTGGGAAGCCACATCCTGAGAAGAGCCACTGCCAGCTTGTGGCACTCATGCCCACCCATGCCACCACAGGGGTGATGTCACAGCCTGAGACTAGACAGACGCCAGCTCCCTGGTTACGCTCCCACCAGGTTCTACGCAGCCAGTCTCTCCTCTGTGGATACATTCTTCCCTCTGATTATCCAAAGCATTCAGCAGGCCACAGCTTTCCTTGCTCACAGATGGCCTCCAGGCTTCTTGCCTGGATTTGAGTAATCCGTCTGCAACAAGTTTACAGAACTGCCCCTTAGAGGTGGAGAAAGTTTTTTTGGGTTTTGTTTTGTTTTGTTTTTAAGAGACACAGTCTTGCTGTGTTGCCCAGGTTGGAGTGCAGTGGTGCGATGAAAGCTCACTGCAGCCTCGAACTCCTCAGCTCAAGCCATCCTGCCTCCGCCTGCTGCGTAGCTGGAACTACAGGTGCCTGCCATCACATCTGACTCTTTTGTAGAGAGTGGGGTGGTCAGCTCTGTCTCTGGATCACTGTATGACCTTGGGCAAGTCTTATGTGACCTTGGGCAAATCTTCTAATCTGGTAGCACAGCTTCTTATTTGCAACATGGTGATGTTTTATGAGGGTAAGCAGATTAGGTAACACAAAGTGATGGTCATAAAATAAGAGTTCAGCATATTTTATTTATTCGATAAATACTTACTTTGTGTTTACTTAAACTGTTCCAAATGCTTATTAACTGATTCAATGAATTCTGCGTTACTTTCTTCCCCACCTTCCAGAATGAATCTCTTCTAGTTTGATGAATCAAATTATTATGTGTTGATTCAGGATTTCAACATCGTCTCCAGGTTCTTGAGGCTTTTTCTGAGGCTCCCCAGTAGAGAAAGTTTGCTTATTCCCTCCTTCCTCTCCTCTGCCTCAGATCCCTCCATCAGTTTTCCCAGCTTGTCTGCATCCAAACACCAACAGCAGCAGTGGGAACGTTTTTGTGCACAGGCCCAAGAAACATGAAGAGGACACTTACCATGTGCCAGGCTCTGGGGGAGGCTCAAAGTGAAGGACACTGAATCCTTATCCCTGTGGAACATACATGAAAAGAAGGGCAGGAAATGAATGTCAACAAATATATTACTAAAATCAACTGAGAATCGTAAGTGCTATGCAGAAGAAGACAAAAGCAAATAGCCGAGAGTCTCTGGCGGCTAAGGTACTTCACTAGATGAACTGGATAGAGAATTACTATCTGACCATTGAACTAAGATGTAAACAAAGAAAAGCAAAGCCATGTGGAATGTTCCAGGAAAGGAGCATTCCAGGCAATTGGAACATCACGTGCAAAGGCCCTGAGGCAGGAATAGCTTGAAACGCTTCAGGAACAGAATAAAGGCCCGTGGAGCCACAGCAAGATGAGGGGGAGGAGCAAGGGCTGGAGGTGACACTGGAGAGCTAGACAGGGGACAGATGAAGTGGCACATGGGAAGGAAGTTTGGATTTTTCTCTAAGTCTTTGTTACTCCTAATGTGGTCCAAGAGCAGCAGCAACTGTATGGCCTGGGAGCTTGTTAAAAACGCAGCCTTGAGCCCAACCCCAGAAAACTGAATCACAGACTGCGTCTTAGCAAAATGCCCACATGACCCAAACATAAATTTTTAGAAGCACAGTACTCTAAGTTTCTGGAAAGAAAGCCACGTTCTTTGCAGGTGGAGAGTTTTAAAGATCCCTCAGGCCACCACATGGAGAGCCGACGGTAGGGAGGTAAGGGCAGAGCCATGGCTCTGGTTTTGAGACGGCTGCGGTGGCCCAGGCCAGGTGGGGAGCAGGAACTGGGTGGGAGTGGAGGAGAGGGAGGAAATAGAGGGGACAGAGGACATGTTTTGGAGACAGAGTCAACAGGACAAATCGATGGATTGAATGTCGAAGGAGGAAAAGAAGAATTCCGGCCCTCCTGCCCATGTAGCCTCCACCCCTCCAAAGATACCACAGGGCACTGTGGGAAGAGCCCTATCCTGCAGCCAGGTGTGGCCACACCCTCAGATGCCAAATCCACTCTCCCCTGCCTGCTCCCCTCCACTCCTAGCATCATCTCAGGACTCAGTAGGTTTCTCTAAGAGTCTGAAGCTGTACACGGGGAGCTTGGGGTTCATGAATTTCACCCTCAGTTAAATCAGTCAAGAAATGCACGGAGCCACCCTGGAGACGTACACTCTTCTTACTGTTATGATGTACACCTGTGCTCATTCATTCATTCATTCAACAAATATCTACTGAACCCCCAATATGTGCTCGGCACCATGCCTGACTCTGGGGATACAGCAGTAAACAGTACATCATGTTATGGTCTATAAAAGGACTTTCCATCTATTTAGGCTCACAGTAAATGTGTTGTCTTCCTAAGGCCCATCCCATGTTG